GCATGCGCATTTGCATAAATGTCTACACACACACATACACACTACACACAATAAAAAACATAGGAAATAGCAAGAGTGATTACAATAGTTCCTATTGCATTACATGCATAGGAACTAAAAAGGCAGATACGTCCAATCACTAGAGAAAAGGTGACACAATCTCTACACGAGTTAGGCTTCTGGGACCAGCCTGCCTATCAAGCAACTAACACTGGCTTTGAGCCTTTTGTGATGTGGCTAAAATTATACTGGTATTATATCACATGTGGGATTATGTAACAGTGAACAATGTAAATATTGATTGGTTTATGTTAGATAATCTTGCTTTATAGAAGAACTCGCCAATGGCGTGAAACAGCTAATAATCAGTTTACTACCAATTGGGAAAATATAGTTTATCTTTGTGGCCAGGTATTTTCCACAAAGGATGGATGTCATACATGTCAACAAAATAATTTTCTTTCTTTTAAAAAATGATGATGGTCACTCAACATACACATTCACAGAGAGCCTTGGCCAGACCTAGGTACACAACAAGAGCCTCATTTACCAAGATTTTTGCATTTCTACAGGATTTTCTCTTTGAAAAATAACGGTTGAGAAGGTTTGAGAAGATAGCTTTTGTAATATTTGACCCAACAATAACAATAATCTGAAAGTTTATATAGCATTCCTACAATACAAGGCTTAGACTCGGAATGGTGACAGCCATAAAGAAAGGAGAACAAATAGGATCAAATCAGCATTCCTCTAGCTGAGAATGAATGAAATATATGAGTGTTAAGTAGGGAATTTTAATGATAGAAAGTAGATTTATAGGTAAATTTAATCAAAGAAAGAAGAATAGCAGTAACCCAGTGCAGACTGACTTCTATTATTAAAGTAAGAAATGGGATTAGAGAGCTTTTGGTAAACCACATTCACCGTCTTCATGGCACTCACACAATGCATGCTGTTTACTAGCATAGGGTTCCTTATGAGTCGCTGGTGATACACAATGGGTGTAATTTTGGGGTTATATCTCCTTTCTAGTCCAACTGACCTTGGACAGCAAGACAATTGAGATTTTAAATATAGAAATCTTGGCATAGTTCAGTTCACTCCTGATTATTTAGTTAAAGTAATATTGAATGGTGCAGCTAATAATTGGTTGTTGGCCTAGATATTATAACCTACTGCAAATCCCACATATTACGATAAATAACGCCTAACCATAATAATATCAGGTTTATAACAATTCAGCACGTATTAGGCATCAATAAAATTACAAGATTATCACCTCCGCTCAAATCACTTTTTCCAGAATCCTACAAATATTTCATTTTTTTTGTATGTAAATGTTAGAGGTAGGGGATGGGAGGCGAGAAATGTTGCAAAGTGTTTGGGACCTCCATTGCCTTGTCTACTTGAATGTTTAAATAATGTTTGAACATAAGTGGTATATAGTTCAATTAATCAATCAATCTTTATTTTCCATCATCAATAAAACAACAAATAAAGATGGAGGAAATACAACAAAGGGAAGGCCTGACAATGCGTTGTATCACCTTAACAAAAAGACAATCATAAGCAATATAAAATGTTAAAAAAACACTTTTGATAATACTATTATGTGCAATTTATTTGACTTTGAAATGCAATTTTGTTAAAAAATTCACATTCAAAAACCTTTATCGTCCAAATTATATAAAAACATACACTTTGAAATTTGTTATTTGATCCACTATGTAAAAAAAAAAAAGGAAAAAAGAAAAGGGGGAAAAACATGTTTCCTTCTTACCATCACCATCTACTATATTGACGCTCATGGAAGCAGGAGGATCATCGCCATCTAGCCCATAACCTTTAAATGTCTGCCGGCCCGGGATTTTCACCTGGAACTGTTTTCGTAGTTGGTTTTGATCATCTTTGTGTATGTAATCAACTATGCTGTTGCCGATCATATCATGCTGTAAGAAACATTAAAAATACAATATTAAAAATTACAAATTACAGTACTATAGCCACATCCCTAAATTTATTTTTCAGATACAAGGCCAACACCATTTGGTCGCACTTGGAGTGGGCTTTAACTGGTGTATGATCATACCCAGGATTCCATCCCTCACTGTTTCAGCGAGCCCCTAACTTTAGGGGCTTCAAAGTGCTAAAGAACGGAGGAGTGGAAATGATTCTTCTGCAAAATTCGCTGATATATTACATGCAGCAACCTATGGAATTTCTCAGACATCGTTCCAATGACTGGGATAATAATGTGGAAAAGCACTCTGTGATTTAGTTGTATAAAGCACTATATAAAAACCTACATATTATTATTTATTATTATATATGGTGTTGACTAATATCTGGCTTTATGAAGTGGAGATGTCTGGTTATGAGAATATGGTGTTTTGACAAGATTTGAGCCCATCATTCCAAAATTGGAAGGCAAGCATATTAACCACTAAGCTATTGGACACTCCTTACTGAAGATTAATTTTATACAAGGTGATCAATTAAAAGATTAAAATTTCTCATTCAGGATATTAAAAATGAGGATGAGGCTCCTACTTTTATTTGTTGTTCTCTACAAAGATGGCCACCACACAAATAGTCATCTAGCCAATGGCACACACAGACACTTACTGCTTATCAGGGTGTTTGCATTTTTGTTGGATTTTTTAGGTCTATGAAAGTACTTAGTGCAATAAGTTTGTAACTAAAATTTATAATTATTAATATTACACACTTTATTTTATACAAAGTTTATTTATGTGTATATTGAACTTTGGAAAAAGAATGTCATATAAACTTTTCCATGTGACTATAAAGAGAAACTTAAACTTGACAATACTTAACACAAGTTATATTGTTAGATCTATTTATGTTTGATTCATCCATTTGAAACATATATAGCAATGTACCAACGACAATACAAAACCTAAAAATGTTGTTGTCCTCAATATGGCAATAACATGAACAGACACAACTTTTTTATTATCCTAATGATATGATAATATCATTTGATTAATCCTATGTGACCACAAAACTGACAATTTTTTTCGTAATTACTAAATCATTCATCAAAGCTGATTATAAATAGATTTATTTAGAGATTTTAATTGCAAAATAAAAATATATCACTACTGATTATATAACGAGAACAGATGACTAATACAACATTACACCTACGCGGAGATGCAAAAAATAACCGCTAATTATAATAGTAAATCACCATGACAACAGTCTGTTGGTGCCAATTTTCTGGAGCATTGATTTAAATATTTAATACATAATGTATAAATGAAATGTTTGCTACAGCACATTAAAAAAAGGTTCTGTGTACTATCCATAGTATGTGTGTACTTTACAAATAATTTATGTTGTGTAAGTTCAGCTTATTTATTTCACTGCAGTTTTCTGTCATAACATTTTTAAACACTTACGATGATTCCCACATTAGAGAGGCTATACTTACCTGTCACAAGTTCTGTCGTGAAATCTGGGTAAACCATAACAAAATCTAATAGAATATTAAATTGCTCATAATTGTAAATAGAAAATAAGTTTGTAAATTTCAAGTCAGTGAGATGGAAGGAAATAATTCAGTTGTTACATACTAGAAAAACCTCTAAATTAATTACAATATCAGCCAATTTACAAACTATCTAATACAATTTGAAAACTTTAAGAACAAGCTACCTGAAAACATTAACATATTAACAATTAAAAAATAAACTGTGTACTTATGTCCCCAGGTAAGAAAATTGTCCTTAACCGGTGAGTTCTACCATTCCACAGCCCCTTCCGAGCCCCTCCCCTTGTGTTTTTAGTCAGAACTGAATCTTGTTTAAACAAATCAGCAAATGAAACCAAATGAAAAAAAAAAATTCTAATTATTCTGCAGGTTTTAAATTTTAGAAGTCTTGAAAAAAATAGTGATTTACTGATAAATTTTTGGCATATTTGGCATTTAAGATCTGGTACTGCAGCCTATGACTAATTAACGAAGGTAAATATTATACAAAGTTGCACTCTAAAAGCGTGTGCAATTATATGCCAGACACAGTCACTTAAAAAGGCAACATCAGATATGAGTCTAAGAGAGGCTCTGATAGTGTGTGACAGGTTTATAAGCGTGGGTAGGGCTTTAAAAATTGGCAACCAGCGATTATATGAAGGCACATATTAGAATGATGTATAGTAACATTAGGATGTGTACATTCAAATTTTAAAAGTGTGGGATATTCATTTACAAATGAAATAAAACTAGCATTTAAGCAGTACTCCAGACAAGAGCATGCCGTTATTATTATTCACTTGCATTTACATACTTTAGAACAATGTTATGTAGTAAGATTAGATGTGTATTAAACCATACAAAATGTCGTTAAATTAGAGAGGTGGTTGATGTCAAACTTTTGACCTTTTGATGACAGATACGCTTGATTAGAAGGCATAGGCCTACCATGTCTCATCTGGATTTAACTCTAGCTATGAACACAGCAGGACCTGTCATTCTTGGTTTCAATCTCGTTACCATTCTTACAACAACATTCTTAAAATTAATACAATGTGATATAGAATTTAATTGAGTCAATTAAAAAATAATTACAGGAAAAGTTTTAGTAATAACCATTTCTTTGAATTTTGCTTTTTCACCAAATTATATGCAGCCATATTTTTTATGTATACTGCATTACACATAAATTAGGAACATCATTAACAAAACCATATTTTTAATATTGAAACTATATTCTTTATAGACAATACCTGTATTTATGTAGATTTTACTTACGTTTTCTATTATGCAACAATATATTATTTAAATTTATTTTACAAAATGTTGTGTTGTATTAATTTTCTAAATAAATTTGAAGTACCCATAGTAGATTTGCTCTTGACTATATATACTTTCTTATTAATGTAAATATCATTTTGGTAATTAGTTGTTCTCTTTTTCATAGTCAATACATAAATCCTGACAAGATGATCACTCTGAATAAAAGCATGTCACTTTAAATAAAGTTCATAGAGTGCTATTCAACTCATCTTCATTACCTTAATATTAATAAAGTAATTAAAAGTAAACAAATAAATTGTATTACAGACAGTTTCTTAGAAACGACACATGACAATCATTTTACATCTGAATACTCTCAGGAAAAATAATGTGGTCATAAATGTTGTAGATGATAAAAAAAAAAAAAAATAGTTATTGATCCTGAATAACTGATGATGATGATAATGACGATAATGACGTAGATGTTGATGAGGATAATAACTTAATAGATAATGGTAGACGATTGATTGATTATTCATATAATATTCCTTACATTTGTCCCTTTAATTCCACTTACTCATATTTCAGCAGTGTCCCTTTAATACTGCTCATAGTTGGCTGTCAAAATAATGCAGTGTGATGGATGTTCAGACATTTTTATGTAATGCATCATTATTCATTTGCAGATCTATATGTTTATAAGCACAATTATATGAAACTACTAAAAATAGCTTTTTCATCATCCATTATTCATCTGCAACACTATGCATTTACAGTATAAAAACAGGACCATTAAATTTATATTATTTTAGTACATTGCCTGTTTTTAATGGAATTCAATTAGTTATGAACTTGGAATTCCTTTGCAATAATTGTTTTCCTGTTTCAAGAACAGCAAAGTACAATTTAAACTTAGGACATGAAGCTAAGATTTTATATAAAGATTCTTCGATAGTAAAAACCAATGAAATTATTTTATGAACACACAAATATCAGGTGAGGCTGAAATGACAGTCAACTTTTTTCCTGTTAAAAATTCTAACATTTAATATCCCAGAAAAGTTTAGTTTATCTCACGGCCAAATATTTACCAAGCAAATCAGATTTATACTATAATATGCAGCAATGAAATGCTATTTGCCTCATTAGCTAAGGAGTTTTATTGGCAATGCTGACTGACAGCCAATCAGACCTAAGGTCATTAGGATGCAGATACTGTAGGTTAGGTTTGAGAATTGTTTGAAACCCATACCCACTCCAATTTATACACTTTTTATACCTTTGTTCGCAAACCTGCCACCCACAGATAATGATTATTTGAAATTAAAATTATATTTCTGGCTTGAAATATTATAAACTTTTTATATTTCTATTCTGCCCATCGCCGTCATGATATATTGTGAGGAAAAATATTAATTTCACAATTCTCTGAAAAGATTTAACGATAAACAAAGTATAGAAAAAGCCTTAATAGCATTGGAGAATCTGATTTAATTTTGCACTGGGCTGCATGGAACTGGATGACCTCACTGGTGACCTTGCCTCATGGCATCCCCAGTGCTGTCTCCCACATCCTTTTGCCATTACAGTATTTCTCCAGGGAGCATGACAAAGCAGTTTCTGGGAACTAAAGCCAGCCATTTCTATTTTTTCGGATCCATTTCGGTTTGTACAAGAATTGTGGTTTCATCAAGCTATTGTAGTGGCTATGTTTCTACACCAATACTAAATACAAAGTAATGAGTACTTTTGTTTCTATTTTAAATCCTCATTTCCTAGTACAGTACATTGTACTTTGTGCAGTGGCTGAATCACACATCTGTAAATGAGTCTCAAGCAATGGACGCCGGCTGGCTAAAATTTGTTTTTGAATGTTAAACACATAAAACATAAATGCCATGGAATGACCGGAAAATGTGAAATAACATCAGATACTCACGCGAAGCCAATAAGCATTGCTAATAGGAAATGCAGTAAATTATAGGGTATCCCTAGTGGCAGTTCAATGTCTCTTGTAGGGTATTTTTTAACATGGTCATGTCGTAAATTTAACTTGATGCCTCCCTGTTGATTCTTCCTAGCACTGCCCTAACTAACTGGCCTAAGATTATTTTTCTTCTGTTTTCAGGAAATATCTCCCTTGAGCTATTCTATTATTCACATAGATGTTTTTTTGGTTAGAAGTATGTAGCAATGAGTATGTGGCAATGGGCCAATTATGAATGAAAAGCTTTAGCATGTTTACATTATCCATATGCAGATGGATGATTGTAGGATAACAAGTATAGCTGTGAATATATATGGTATGTGTTGATCATATCCAATCAAAGAATGGATATAACTGGATTTTTAATTTTTTCGAATGTACAAATGGATGAATGCAGGCTTCAGGTTTAGGTCACTCTTTAATATTTGTAGATCTTTAATACCTGGAGATACATTCCAGTTCATAAAAAATAAATTTACTGACTTAATGTCAATCACGGAATAAAACATAATAAAATTATGTAGCAATATTATATTCAGAAGTCAAAGAATCCACAAAATCTCATGGAAATTCAAACATCCTAGTACAAAAATAACAACCCATTTAAAGTGAGGCCTAAATATACAACTGTGTATACTATATGATGACCATTTTTGTGACGATAAAACAAGACCTCTGCAATGCCCGAGGTCTCTATGAATCCAGTGGTCATTCAAAAATAAATTAGAAATCCAGACATTATCTTAAGCAATGATTATCCATCCATGTCTGCATAAAACCTAGCATGATTGTTTATTGTGGCCATCTTAGTAGAAAGAAAAAGAGTATCATTTTCTTCTTTGACTAAAAGAGAATGGAAAAGAAACTTGGCTAAACTTATTGGTGTAATTTTTTCCCTAACTGACGTGGAAATGTACTGAATACTCAGTATGTGTAAAAACAATTGTGAAAAAAATTGCAAGTTTTTCTCGGCTGGGACCAGAAAAAAAAAAAAATTATATTTATACTTGATTCTCCTGACGCAAATCCTGTTATTGTCTATTCCATCACGACAGTAACAATTACTTGGCTAACCTTGTTTTGCAAAACAAGATTCCCTCAACAAGTCTTATTTTCCGATACTTCCAATATACTTACAAAATGTTGATAATATTATTGTGAATGGCCCATTACCTGATTACATAACATACAGTAGTAAACCTAGCTATATTACCTGGTAAACCTGGTTATCTTACCTAGTTACATTGTGTTATCTTACCTGGTTAATACCAAGATGTTTGGCAACACTTTCAGAGACGAAAAGGATCCGACCTTTCCGAGAAATGAAGATTACAAAGCCGTTGAGTGTCTGCAAATAAAAAAATATGTCTTCAGTAACTAGCTTTCTGCATCTTACAGACTTCAATTTTACTATACCCTCTTTCAGAATTATTAACATCCTTTGCAGTGGCAGATCCAGGAATTCAAATAGAGGGACCTGGGGAGGATTTTTGACAGGTAGAGGGTCTAGACCACATCAGGAACACCATGGTTGGGGCTGAGATAAAGAAAATTCATGATTATGGCACATCTAGATAACTGGAAATGGCATTCTTAACTTAAATTTGAATATCCTTTGTTTTTCACTCCATGGTTTTTTTATAAATGAAAAAAAAAATTATGAGGGAAGGGTCCGGGCTGGCTGGCCCCGACCCCCTGAATCCGCCACTGCTTTGGAATGTAGGCCAATGAATCTATAGAATCACCCAAAAACTTCATTTTTGTTCACTGTAACCCATGGGCTCTTTTGCAAAATAATGAATGGTGGGAGGGGTGGTGGTACATTCGAGATTCAGATTTCTTTTCCTAATTTTACTTATTCAGTTGGTTTTAACATGTTCACTTATTTTCAATTTCATACTTAGTTTTCAACATTCTAAGTGTAGTAACTTACTACATGGCATTTTTTATATGCATACACACTTTAACAATTGAGATATTAATTTTGTGTATTTTAACATGTATTATTAAAATATGGAAAGCACTCTAATCTATCGAAAATGCGTTTAACAAATGCAGAATTAGATTGTTTGACATGACTGATCTTCTGATGTCAAATTATATTGTGACATAATACTTCCCCCATATAAGAATTTCTGGTCAGAAGTTAGATAATTTTTTTCTTTGTTGTAGCTATTCCAGTTTATCCAGGTAAGTATGCTAAGCTACCATAGTGATCTACTAAGTTTTACTGAATAATCTTAGGAAGGAATTCACAAAATACATCAATCGGACCTAGTTCAGAATAATAATTTTATTTGCTCACCAAATCTGATAACAGATTTCTTAGATTATGAGATTGAATTATGCAAATTATTAGCATTTCTAGAACACAATGAGTAGCATTACAGTAAATTTATTGGTTATAAAAACATGGTTGCGTGATGCAAAGTGAGAGAATAGATTAGGCCAAATCAAAAGAAAAATTAGCATCTCATCCAAATTTTTTTGAAAAAAAGGGCTGTGCTTGTGGAAAATGTGATGATTGCTTTTCAGATATATTGTTATATTGGTAATACTTTTTGTATTGGAATCTAATCTAATGGTATTTCAGCAAAATCTACACAATTATATATTGTTATGAAAGATGACGGTAAAATGGCATGTGAAACACTGTTATTAAAAAAAAAACCATTACAATACAGAAAAAAAAAAATATGGGAAAGAAAAGCAGGCATGAACGAGAGAAAAACATTATTTATATTTAAATTGTGTTCGATAGTGTTTTGCATCCGTAGATTTATTTAAAATAAGATGGATTTCATCATAACATGAGATTAAACATATTGTTTCTTGCCAAAAGCAATTGGAGGTGGCTGCAATTGTGCTTTAGCCCACACTATTCTTTAGTCACAGTTTTTGACAACACTAGGGAGTATTGAAGTCAGTCATCATCAATACACACCAGTGTGGTCAGGACCACCTATTTGCCGGTACGTGACACTGATCCGCATTAGACCCTAGCAGACCATGGAAACACCAAGCTGGGTCCACCCTTTCATGCCCTAGATGAAACATTTTGTGTCACTATTTTGTAAACTATTCAAATTAAATACCACCAGGTAATAAAGCAAATTCATCCTTATTAGAAATATGCAGATTAAAAAGAACTACACTAGCAGTGTTTCATCATAATTTTGTAACTAACCTCAAGCATAAGAGCACCTTCTTCCCCATCGCAATCTGAAAGGGATTTCAAAATTTGATTCTTATCGTCATCATCTTCATTTCCAGAAGTGATAGCTCTGGTCTCTGATTTTGTTTTCAGCTCATCAAGAAGTGCATTACCCTCTGAAAAATATATTTTTAAAAAGTTATAGATAAAATGACTCAAATCAAATGGTACTTAAATTAGAAATTTAAGGGGTGAGGTTGGCACATGGCCAAGGCATATAATAGAATTTGATGTTCACGAACCTTGTCCACGAGGTGGTCCATTTAAGCCCTGGCGGGATGTTGTGAGGGGGTGGATCTCTGCAGATACAGTTGGTGCCAATTGCACCACCTGGTATCGCAGGTACACTCACCTTACAATAAAATGTACAGCCATTCAACAGTCTAACCCTCGCATGCGGGAAAAACTGACACTAAAAGATGATGATTATGATGAGTATCAGAAAGTAGCCTTTGATCTGATTTAAAAATTTTGCCTTTAGCAATACTGTAACAGACTTAAAGTTTCTGCAGCATTAATTATCCATTAAATTTTTAGATAGTAAACAATATTTTGATTTTAATTTGAATCATCATTATTGGAGGGTGACAGGTTCATATTCAAACAAGTGACATTCCCAAATACCAAAAAAAAAAAAAAAAATTGAGTGGTTCTTCAAGATATGTACAACTGTGTACATGTTTTAAAATTTTCTGAAATGTTCAACAATTTGAAATTTTCAACATCAAGAGTTCTCATTCATAAAAAATATGAAAGAAAAGTATAAGAAGCGATTCAAATGTCAACGATCGTTGCCACTCCCACTGCGGTATTCAAACGCTTAGGTGTTTTTTAAGACAGGAACATTATCCAGACAAAATGAGCAAGCAGCAGCAGGTCATTGACCTGAACCAAGTATTCCCTTATCAAGATGAAACCTCACACTGCAAAAGACTGTATACTTGCTTTAGGCTTTATTAGGCAGGCAAACAACAGCCAATACCTAGCAATATTTGGAGCACAAAGGCCAGAAATTCTACCCCACTTTCTTGGAAGGAATGTGATGCCAAAAGAAACCCTTAGTTTTTTTTGTTTTTTTTTGGAGCATGCTAGAGACAGTTTCTACATGATCTTTTATCCTCCTCAAATTCTTTAACACATTGGACGCTTTTAATAATACATAGAATAACATTTTTTGACAATGAAAATTTAATATTTTAATAGACCAAATTAGTCAAAACAAACAACTAGATGGCAATTGTTTCACACAATAAATAAGCATCCGCTTGAATAAATTTCTACAGTTTTTAAACTCCTCAAACATGTTTACTTGTGCATATCGTAAGCTATCTTATCGAAAAACCTTGGTAAATATTCCTTTAATAAACGTCATAATTTTTGATCCGTTAGATTTGAAATGGAGTGAAAGAAACAAATAGGAAGTCACATAAACAACATACTTCTGAATCATTGGTCATCGTAGTCACAAAAAACATCTTATTCTACAATTCAGCAAATTAAGTTTGTCATACATAAATTGCAACAAAATGACTTGGTGACAACTGTAAACTGAATGTGTACCGCTAAATCAACAACTATCCCTTAGTGTTGTGTTGAGTCGCCCAAGCGATAGGTCTAGGCTTTCTAGGTCTCTCAAAACTCTTCATACATATCTGAATGGAAATTTAAATCAAATCAATCTCATGAATCTCTGTATCATTTAAAATGTATACGCTGTTATAAAAAGTATCTTCTACGCCAACTTCATTACAATTTAGACGATTTAACATACACCACTTTTGACGCCACTCAATCAGGGAACAATAAAATTCCCTGGCTCAATGCATTAGCATAGCTCTTTGGGCATGATTACAACTTTAATACCCACTCGAAGAAATCATGATGACGTTATCTTTGGTGACTAATTTGGTCTATTGAATAAAAAGAAATTGATGCCCTAGACATTCAAACTATTTTATATTATAAATTTAGTACAATACATATGGTAGGCTTACGCGATCTTTTAATACATAAATAAAGAACATTGATATATATAAATGACTACAATATAATTCTAAAATTAATTAATTACTTACTCTGTAGGCACTTTTAATTTTTAATTTTAATTTTTAATTTTTAATTTCCCTAATTTTAGTGTCCTTTCTTGGTACGGTACTCTGCTTTTTCTTTTACTTTTTTTTGTAGCTGTAGTTGTTGCTGTGGTTGTTGTAATTGTATCATTTTTAATGTTTTTCTTTTTTTTTTTACTTTAATGTTGTGATGATTTTTAAACGAGAATTTTAAATGTTTCATATTTATATTTTGTATATTAATATTAATTTTTCTGTACATTTCAAATTTTCCTTAAGTTTGCAAATAAAGTTATTTTGAATCTTTTTGAATCTTTTCTCATAATTGGAAATATTAATTTAATTATAATTCAAATATTGAGAAATTATTTTAATATGCCCTACCAACCAATTAATGATCAAATGCTTTCAACCTACACTACTAGAAAATTTTTGCTTTATCATGCCAAACAGCAGCTTTTACGAACGATTTTAAGTTTTAAGAACGCTTTAAAATTTGTATATGTATTTCTTACATATTGTATTGTTTTCTAATGCACTGATTTGCTGCCAACTAAATGCAGGTTATTTATTTAACCTAGTAAATTTAGCTGTGTTTTCATTGGTAGTAGAAACAGGCCAATGTATATTAAATTCAAGGTTAAAGAGTTCATTCAACAACTCAATCAAATGCAAATTGAATAGAAATATGCCTTTCATTTACATTACAGTATATTCATTGTTTCTCTTTGTCACTACAACATGAAGTATCTTTAACATAATGAATTGATAATTGAACATGTATACATAAACATAACTAAATAAATAAATAAATAAATAATAAAAACAATTAATCAATAATAAATCATCAATCTATCAAATCAAAACAATCAAAACAAATCAATCCAAGTGATATGAAAACAAAATTATTTCCAATCTGTTTCATTGAAGCGGTTATTGGAAGTTAATTACCTATTTGATTATCACATTTAAAATGGATGAATTTTTACCAGAACTTATCTATATTATTATCTCTCACAGATGTCTGAATCAATCTCTATTCCTTGTAAAGTTCCAAAATTTAATTTTGACTGTTACAATGCTTTAACATTCATTCACTTCCTATAAAAACAGTTGCAAACAATAATAACGAGATTGTAATCAATGACACATTGTAAGTAAACAATAAGCCATATTTTTGTAAATAATAATAAAAATTAGGTAAACAAGCAGACAGGAGGTATAACAGACAAGTACTTTACAAAATACAAAAAGCAGTTATGTGGAGCTTATAACCTTATTGAAGGATGTGTGGATGTGTGGTTCTTGTTCACATTGTTTGAAGTGTTAAAATTAACTTACCATATTGTTTTACTTTTCATTTTTCTTGCTTGCTTATAGTACCTACTAGTCACTGGTTGCTAAATATTATAGTAAATGTCTATTTACTGTAGTAAATAATAACCAGTGTTATCTTTTTAATATTTCTTGTTAAATTTTTATATTTACTCAGGAAAGCTGTAATGTGATGAATAATTTGAACTTTAAACTTGGGAATTACTTTACTTTCATTATATGTATAACATTGTAGTCATATTATATATAGTCATATATTAATCTTAATCTTTATCGTCAAACTAAGCTATAATACTTATCGTCAAATTAATACCCGATTCACACGTACAAAAATCTACCAAAATGTAACAAATTCTTACATTTGCCCAAGCGTGTGAATGCACATCCTTGTAAAACAAATGTAACATCCGTGTAATAGCTCGGTAATCTTTATCAACATAAGCGAGGTCTGTAAAGATTACCGAGATATTACATGACGATGACTGGGCATGCCCAGGAATCGAGACATGGCCTAGCCAGCTGTGTGGCGCGAATTATTTCAAAACAAACCAAGCCTAATTTCTAGCCGGCCTTGGATAATTGCTTATTATATGTACTGCAACATTCAGAATGGAGGAATTCTTATTATCCGTGGTTATTGATGAAAAGAGGAGAAGAAAATCAAACAACAAACATCGTTATTCTAATGTCGTTAGGATAATCAAACGTCAGAAATTTCGCCGACAGCTTTTTACTAGGGCCTATGCTGATGAATTTGATTTCTTTGAACATTTGTTGCAACGGTATAGTAAAGTAGCCTAGCCTAGGCCTAGCATGTTCGATTCTCGGCCGATCTTAATATAATAAATATATACTGCCTAAAACCCTCCTTTTTTAGACTCTCGTAAACTTAGGATATATATAAAATGCCTATTTGAATGTGTCTCTCCTGACCTAGGCTAGGGCCAGGCTAGACTGTGTGTGTGTTGCTCACGGACTCGTTGCTCACAACAGGAGTCAACCAAGCATTTCTAATGACTTCTTTACAAGATTTTACATGGATGGAAATTGTACGTGTGAATACGACTAATCTCAGTAGGAATATCTCGGGAGATATCCCGGTAACAATTTGGTACATTTTGTTACATTTCATTCTACGTGTGAATCGGGTATAAGCTACAAGAAATAGATGACCGGTGAAATTTCGAACTTCAAAGATTTTCTCTTACTTTACATCTGACTTAACCCAATAATTATCTTTTCCAACCTATACTTGTAAATATACTATATCCTACAGTATTCACCTATCGACTAGTTGATAGCAAATACATACCTAACAAGTGATGTATCAAGCCTGTGTAAAAGCTAGCAAAGACTTTAATGTGACAATACATTGCATGGGGTGCGTTGTATGAAGCTGTGTGAATTAGTCTCAACTCCGTGCAACAACATTTTTAAGGCGAAACCACCAACAAAAATGTATCGGAACAAATTGATAGCATTCCACAGGCATGAATTAGGCATTGCCAATTAGTCGAACAATAAATTTATAAATGTTTTTATACACATAATTTCCACTCTGTTTTTTCTGTATTTTGTAATGATTTTTCGTATTTCATTAACGATTACCTTTTTATGAAATAACGATATCACAATAGTAAATTATCGCAGTCTCTCCACCCCCCCACCCCCCTTAATTTTACTGTACATCCAATTTTATATACCAGCCTTTGCCATGGTATGATTTGAAAAAATTGCCATTTAATTGAAAATGGAATTCCCTGGGAATAAGTCCACCCCGAAAATCGACCCATTTTTGTGTTAAAGAGGAAGGGGTGGGCTTAAATCGGAGAAACTATGGATGGTATCCACATCAATTTTCAGGTAAAAAGGATCCACATACCTTTTTGAGAAAACTTCTTTATTCGGAGGTAACTTGTAGCGAGTCGAATTATGGAACCTTTATCTAACTTGGAAGTGATCTCCTCGGGAAATGGAAGGAGCTTTGACAACGCTGTGATCTCCACTCCTTCCTTGTCCCGTCGCATTTTGGCGGCATATCGAGATTTCTCAGCCCTAGAAAGAAACAAAATAAAACCAATAATATAATATAAATCAATAATATTATGTCATAATATAAATAGCAAAAACAAAGTTGACATCAAATTTAAACAGGTTTGCATAATTCTCACACATGTTTTAATAGTTAACAAAATGAATCTATAAAAAATAATTATAATCTGTATTTAATCACAAAACTCATTCACCCTGTGGGTGATTTTATTACAAAAGGCTGTGAGGCACATTAATATATAAAACTTATGAAACTAAACTAAAAACGCACAATTGACAAAGCCCAATTTTACAGTAGAACCCGAATGATATTGTTATGCATTTTGAATGATTATTTAATTACAAAATGTTACAAAATTATGACCTTCTTAGTGTGGATCTAAGGTTTAAGGATGGGGGTGGCTAGACAGTGTAAAAAGGTTGGTCCTCCCCCATAAAATTTTAGTTTGTTAGAGGCCTGGAAATGAACATTCCTGCATTTTGAGTTCTATCAGTGACATTAAATTTCTTTAAATTTCAGGTTTTGTCTGTTATTACATTAATATATAAAATTGATGATAATGGTTACATTGGTAACTGCAAGGAATCCAAGACTGAGTAGAATGAATGGACATGTCCCCCTCAAATCACTTTGTACATTATTTGGTAAAAAGTAAGCCTGAACACTATTACAAAGTATCTTAGGACTGTTAATTCGTTTCTACATTAGTACTTGGTGGCTAGTCACCCATTCACCCCTTCTCGCCCATGTATTCCGTTATTTCCTTTTATAACAAAAACACAATTTCAAATTACACAAAATGGAAATAATATAGTGTTATGTAATGTTCTATAAACTAATTCTTTTTCTGAGGCTTTGAATTAATTTGTATTTAGTCATGAGAAAAAAATAATCCCTGGGATTTTAACTTTTGACCTACAGACTGGAAGGCAAGTAACTTTATCAAAATAAGATAGCGTTCCACTCAACTAGAATTGTGCTCGTTTGCAGGAAAGCCTGCATCTCAATAAGTGTACACGCATAGTAATTGCTTAACATGTTTTCCCACAGTACGGATATTAATATTTTTAGTAAAGAAAACTGACAAATTAATTATTCTATATTTAGTACCCTATTATATTAAAAGTAAATGGTTTTAACCACTCTTGTGAGCTATCTATGTATAATAAATATTAATACTGTATATGGTTTTCTTTTAATCAGTTCTCATGTCTAAGTAAATTTATTAAGAACTATAATCTCGGTAAGAAAATCAATTATTTTCAAAATGATAAGGATGACAAAAAACATTTTTTGATCTGCTATAAATGCAGTTCAAAATAATTTATATTTCTTTATGAATGGGGTAGAGGCCGATTCCTGTACTTTGATATTATGCAGGTGATTTAATTAGGATTTTGTTTTTGCTCAAAGCTAACAAAAAGTTTTCCTTTGGCACTTTATGGACTTTCTCTCACGTTATCTTATCGCCATTGATTTCTTTATGAGGATGTACTACTCAGTAAAATTACTCTTGCACAGTTGCACATATTTTCAGCACAATTACGAAAAATCAATTTATTATACTACTATCGAGAAATATTTCAAAGGAGTAATAATCAATATCTTTAAAATAAGGAAGGTGGGTAAGCCATCAAAGCTAATGAAATATACTTTTATATTAAAAACCATTTGTAATTCAGGTTATTTTGCATGGTTTTCATATGAATGATTAATTATAAATTTGTTTCATCTCCAAAAGCAAATACTCTATTAAATTAAAGTGTGATGTTCTCTGTCTCCCTATTAAGCATACGGAATGAAACTGTTTATATAAAAAAATACTGGTTTTCACAGCATTTGAATCTAGGACCCCACAGAGTGCACGTCCCATTTAACCACTCCAGTGAAGCTGATGGAAAAAGGCTACCTTTTCTTAAGGATTTACCACATTGGCTGCCAGAATTCGTCCCATGGCGTGTTGCTGTGCGCGCCAGGAACGTATACTCGTCAAGATCGGGGCAACATTATAGCGTTTATTACTTCGTTATTCAGCTAGTAGTTCGGGGAAGATATACCTAGACAATAATGTACAAATGACGTATGTATGTTTATTATGTTATGTAGCCAGTAGGAAACTCGAGGTCTTATTAATAAACAAGTTTGAGACATGAAAATAAAATAAAATTTATTTCCTGGTATGATAGGTTAATGTAAATATTATAAACCTTTCTAATAAAACTTGGTTTTCCTTTATGTTTTATGAGACAGTCCTTAATAGTAATATCGGAGCTGATATATTCATCAATGGCTGTTATTAAAATATAAACATCCTAAACTTCTATCCTGTAATTGGTTCTTGAAGCAACCAGTATTGGAAACTAATAAATTTATTGGACTCTTTGGGCTCATTAACATCAAGGGCACTAAAGTTTCTAGACCAAACTGCATTCTTTTGAACTGTATTTATCAAATCTTCATCATAAATATGTTAACAGCATTTTGGGTATATATTGACATTTCAAAATAAGACAAGGTTAACTAAAGTTAGTATAGAATGTCAAGAGTAGATGACGGATACTGTAGCAGTACGGAGAGGAGGATAGGAGTATGGTAGGAGTATTCATGGCATAAAAAACACCAAGGATAACACAGTAACCGAATAGCACACTGAGGATACATTAACTCACAAAGACGAGGGGGGGTGGGGGTAGTACACCAAGAAACAATCCCCTACTCTTCTGAAGATTGCAGTGCATTTAAAATATGCAATGGTCATATTGCACACAGACCAAGCGCATTTAAACATTTATGACAGCATCCAATAGACGGTATGCTGTCATATTTTAGCCTTTCATTTGAAACACAAAAGGACAGCAATTGGAATTGAACCAGGAACCAAATATGGACCTCCACACATATATATCCAGTGCAGGAGCAATGGTGAAAGCGTTATTGGGATAATGTACCCTGTTTACACTCTACTCGATGTTGGAAAAATAGAAGAATATTAAGATACTGCGTATACATATTACTTAAAGTGGGATTTGAATGTTCTTAACAAAATTTATAGGCATTTTCATCCAATTATACATGTTAAAAATTTAAACATCCTCAACTGCCTATCTTGCAAATTACCCTTGGATGTAACTGGTAGGAATAGCCACATCTTATCATACATGTTGACAATTTAGATTTAATATGCATGACTATCAAGTAAATACTTAGAAGGCCTCTCTAATTTAGATGGTCCAGATAAAAAATGCCTTACTGTAGTTTAATCACTTCCTGGTTCGCTAGGAATTGATTTGGCAGGCAAGTGAAATTGATTCCATTCTTCCATGAACTTGATGTGCAAGGCCTAGTTTTACTACTTGTTCCCATTCATCGGCATACTATCAGAAACTCCACACACAGCATGTATTGATTTTAAACTATCATTTTTACATGCTAGTACAATACGCTTGACAAATATTTTTGTCATGGATGGTTGGCAATAAAATTCATAAATTATGCATTGAATAGTGATCAATAAAAAGAAGATCTATCACTACTCAAACTAAATATGTTTTGTAATATCATCTGTATAGTTTACAAATGATGACCAATAAAACAAAACATGGTTGGAAAAATACAAACCATAAACAGACGGTTAAATGATACGTTTAATCAAACCGAATTGCATGTATTTGTACTGCACACCTTCGGTTTGTGATTGTCGTTTGTTCTACCGCTGTGTGAACACATACACGGTGAGTTATAAAATATGATACCATGCTTTATAGTACTGTTGTGTGGGATATTTTTTACGACCTACTAAGCAAAACAGAATTTTGTAGGATTTGATCCGACAAACAAATGATTTAAATGTTTTATTTCATTCGTATCTAACAGCAACTCACCAATTGCAGGATGGACAATACTTTATAAAAATCTCTGTAAGATGCTTAGATAGTGGAGTTTTTGTAGTTGTGAGATAAAGTCCTGTGTAACAGGAATTGAACCCAGCATCCTCGGATTAGAAGTCAACCACTAAGCTATTTAAACTCCATTCCACACTATCATCAGATAATCATACTCTTTTGGAAAGCTAGTAAATTACACATTACAGTAGTACAAGTAAATGTAAAAAGATGCTTCATGTTTCATCAAAGAGAAATGGGGAGTACGAAAACAGGTGCAAGCAGCAATATATCACTCTACCCTTTTCTCTAGTGTTTGTATGAACTAGTATTCAGATTTAGTAGATCTTTATTACATACCATTACAGTACTATTACATTTTCTATAGGTCTTCATTATTTATGTAATGTACAGTAAGGATATGTTCCCTTAAGATTGTCAAAAGATAATATATTATATTATTTTTAATTACAGATCTCATCATTAATAGTTTAATGTGTGCTGACAATACATTCTACAGTAGAGGCTAAAACACAATAATGGTGTGAGAATTCATTAATTTATTTGACCTTTTATTTGTTTATAAAATTATTAATACATATCTTTGAAAAAAGTTTTTGATTTATTGCTCTTTTTTATCAATCCTTGAATTAGAAGCAAATTTTATCATATAACTTAACTGAATTAAAGGTCTGTAGTAGCTCACAATTATTTTTTACTCAAAACAGACAACTATTGTGTGGTAATGGACACATTTTATCAAAATAATAAAATCAAATTAATTGGTCGGAGACACAAAAATTAGTTTCTTCAAGCCTATTAATAGCCATTGCCAAAAACACCTCTGGATTAAGCACTTGCATACTACAGTAGAAGTACAGTAATGTTAATAAAAATTTAAGCTACCTGTATAAATATCACTGTTGAACACTATTATAGGTATATAGTATCTCTTAATGAAATTATGAATCAGTCAAGTATACAGTAGGTAAAAACAATTAAAAAACTACTCTCTAGGGAAAAGATGTGTTTTTAAAAGTTTTTTAAAAGATTGCACACTGGGGGCCCTGTCTCTTATACACATCTAGATGTGTATAAGAGACAGCCAATCAGCTATGCTA